ATAGAGAACTCCCACACCCACCCAGACAGAGATCAACAACTGTGACTTTCTATAAAAGTTATCGTTTTCACAAACCCTGCTCAGCATCCGGGATCAAGTAAAATCACCACGGCTGTTTACCTATAGACTCAAGTATAAAACCGATGAATGTTTACCTATACACTCAAGTATAAAGCAGATGAATGTTTACCTGTAGACTCAAGTATAAACCCGACGAATGTTTATCTATAGACTCAAGTATAAACCCGATGACTGTTTACCTATAGACTCAAGTATAAAGCAAATGAATGTTTACCTGTAGACTCAAGTATAAACCAGATGAATGTTTACCTATAGACTCAAGTATAAACCCGATGAATGTTTACCTATAGGCTCGAATATATGTTCGATGTATGTTTATCTATAGACTCAAGTATAAACTCGATAAATGTTTACTTATAGGCTCGACTATATACCCGATAAATGTTTTCCTATAGACTCAAGTATAAACCCGATGAATGTTTACCTATAGACTCAAGTATAAACCCGATTAATGTTTACCTATAGGCTCGAGTATAAACCCGATAAATGTTTACCTATAGACTCAGGTATAAACCCGATGAATGTTTACCTATAGGCTCGAGTATAAACGAAACCACTTTTTACCTATATATTCAAGTATACACGTGATTATGGTTATTGACTCAAGTATAAATATCATTCTAGCATGAAAATTAAAATAAAAAATAAAAAACGTATTGATATGTCGTTAAAATCTATTAATTCAAACCCTCCACGTTATGTGTCATAATTTTGATAGCCTGAATTTAATAAATATATATTTCACATTTATATACGCATAATAGAATCTCCCACACAAAAGTTTTGTTTTTTTTCTTTTCTTTTATTTGCTTTTTGTTTGTTTCTTGTTGTGGTTTTTTTTTTACTTTCGTAGGGCAAAGATATTTTGAATTTTTTTTGTTGGCGTAAATAAACCAAGGACTTTTAGGCAAACAATGCGGATTTCCCGTAAATTAACCAACGTCGCTGAGAAGAGGATAATAGTTAGCGTGCAAAGAAACAGAATGGTGCCAAGAGTGGGGAGTTTATGTATTTCACATCCCCCCCCTGGCACTGAAAGTGATAAAGACGTATGCCAGAGAAAGATTATGCATGTTGTTTTAACACAACGATTTGCCTAGATCTATCTATCTATCTATCTATCTATCTATCTATCTATCTATCTATCTATCTCAGTCTATTCATATATATATATATATATATCAGTCCATTCATATATATATATATATATATATATATATATATATATATATATATACGGACTGATATATATATATATATATATATATATATATATATATATATCAGTCCCGTTCATATATATATATATATATATATATATATATATATATATATATATATATATATATATCCATTCATATATATATATATATATATATATATATGAACGGACTGATATATATATATATATATATATCAGTCCATATATATATATATATATATATATATATCAGCCCATTCATATCTATCTGTCTATTTAGATAGATAGATAGATGAATAGATAGATAGATAGATAGATATCCGTTCATCCGTTCATATAAATATATCAGTCCGTTCATATGTGTGCGCGTGTGTGTGTGTGTGTGTGTGTGTGTGTGTGTGTGTGTGTGTGTGTGTGTGTGTGTGTAAATAAAAGAAAAAAACAGTAAGATATATAATCCGGTGTTCTTATAGATATTTTTTATTTTTTAGAAAATAGTGCTCAATATATATATATATATATATATATATATATATATATATATATATATATATATATATCAGTACGTTCATATATATATATATATATATCAGTATGTTCGTATCTATCACAAAATACATAGATATTAAACAGAATAAAATATATAGACAGATTGATAGAGAGAGAGAGATTGAACAGACTGAGATCCATCGATAGATAGATAGATAGATAGAATTTGGCACTTGGTCACAATAATTTGCCCACTAGTGAAAATCGAACTGATTCTGTGAGGTGAGGTCTGAAAAAGTCGTCGGCTTGACCCCATCTCCCGAAATCAGTATTCCAATAATCAGACACTACTGTAATAATTTTGAGATGTGGTTCGGGTCGAGAAGATACTCAGCCCTCTATAAACTAGCAAAAGACCCGAAAGACTAACTCACTAAACTCTCTCGGTTTTCTTTTGCATTTCGATGACCTTCCGGGAACTTTCTACCTGGAGAACGCTGCTGAGGTTCTTTTACCTATCAAGTCTAATGTCCTCGCTGAGGAAATTTCAGAACACGTAACCGTAAGCTTTCTTACTCCCCCACCTCCCAGTCTGCCACTCATACTAAAAAGAATCAATGTCCAATAGTAAGGACACTTTAATGTTAATAATTCAGACAAATAACTTGACTTTGGCTTAAACAAATATAGAAGAACTTTGAACAACGACAAAAAATAACAAGCAATCAAGTGGATTTCTCAATCGAATCGTTCTATCAAACTGGAAGCCGACAGAAGAGAGATTGAAAGGTAAATTAAACAGTGCAGTCGTGAATAAATAAATAACAATAGAAATAAAACAACCTTCTTTTGATCAGTGAAGAAAAGAATCTTTTCAAGTCTACAAGACAAAATCTGGACTCTGTCCAAAAGGGGAAAAAAACTGCGCAAAGGGACATTATTTTTTTATTCGGAGCATTTCTTTCTTTCCTTCATTCTTTCATTTTACTGTTTTATTATTTGTTTACTGTAGTCGAACATTTCTCTGTGTTTTTTTTTTTTATTATTAATTACGCATTATCGATGCGGTTACATGCAGTTTTTTTTTTATGTGATAGAAATTTGGTCACGTGTTTGTTTTGTGGTAATATAACTTCTTTAGTATTCTTTTAATTTGCTCGTTTGTTTGACACACTTTTCCTTGTTGATAATTTATTTCTCTTGTAATTCTTCATTTTAATTTTGTCGTGTTTTTCTTTCTTTCCTTTGTGCCACTTTAATCCATTTTTTTTCTGGTTTTTTTTTTTATCTTTCTGTCTTTTTTATTCTTTTAAGCTATTCTTCTTCCACTTGTCTCTTTCTTTCCTTCTTTTCTGTCTTTACATTCTTTTTTTTTTCTTCTTCTTCTTTTCCAAGTCTCTTTCTTTTCTATTTTCTATCTTTTTTTTTTCTTCTTTTTCTTCTCCCGGTCTCTTCTTTCTTTGTTTCTCTATCTTTTCTTTCTTTTTTTCGTCCTCTTCGCAAACTCTCTTTCTGACCACTTTTCCCGTCCTTCTTACTTCATCGTGCCTTCGTTCATCATTCTTTCCTTCGTTTTTCATTCCTTCAACCCTTTATACGTCATCATGTCTTCCTTTCCTTTTGCTTTCCTTCATTTTTTTTGTCCATCATTTATTCCTCGTTTTTCGTTCATTTATTTTTCCCTCTTTCATTTTCTTCCCTTCATTTTTCCCTCTTTCATTTTCTTTTTTATTTTCACCTTTTGCTTCATCGACATTCTTTCACGTCTTCTACTAATTAACTTCTTTATATCGTCTGTCTTTCCATTTCATGAAATTCATTCGTCACCAATTATTTATTCATTTGAACAAGTTTTCTTTCTTCCTTTCATTTTTCTTGATCAAGAGACGAATTACCTTTATTGCTATTTTTAGATGTGTTTTTCCTTAAATTAATTATCAAAGGTGATATTTTTCTGTGAGTGACTGTGCTTCACGTAGAACAACAAAGGATAATGTCCTCTTTGATAAATGATTGGCTTAGATAGATAGATAGATAGATAGATAGATAGATAGATAGATAGATAGATATGAATGGACTGTGATAGATACATATATGCATAGATATTAAACAAATTTTCAAAGATAGATAGATAGATAGATAGATAGATAGATAGATAGATATGAATGAACTGTGATAAATACATATATACATACACAGATATTGAAGAAATATTCGAAGATAGATATTGAACAGGCATAGATAGATAGATAGATAGATAGATAGATAGATAGATAGATATTGAACAAATATTGGAAGATATATATAAGAACAGATGTTGTCTTACCTTACATATAAACTAGCGCGAACATTAGAAAAAATAACGGAGAACTGTATATACAACTTCCCAGGTAGCTGTAGCAGAAAGTACATAACAGCGATCAGCCGCTCCTAAAATTAAGAGTTGATGTACACCTTAAATGTGTGCACGTTAAGATACTTTAAACTCGGGTTATGGTTGACCAATGGGTGAAGAGAATACAACTGACCAATTTTTGAAGACTGTGGCCGAAATAATATACGGCGAGAAGTACAGACGAATAAGAAGTTTTAACGTATCTGCTCATGTACTATAATCAAATAATTCCGTAAACAAATTGAGTATCGACATTCGTAACTTTTAGGGTCCATTTCCAAAGAGTTGGAAAGAAATGTGTAATTCTACAGGCATGGTCTGTTAAAAGGGAGCGTGTGCTAATATCGAAAATGGGTAACAGAGTCAGTGAAGAAATCGGAGGAAAGCAACCCGGGAGCACACTTGCTCTCCTAGAATAAGCTTCCAGAATACCATAGACACCTAAAGATGGCTAGAAAGTTGGCGGCTGAAATGTTGTGAGAAACAAAGAGCAGAGGACAATATAATTTGTTTAAATGCCAAAAAAAAAATTAAAGCCATTATTGCTATCCTGAAGGAAGTTGCTCCTTTTCAGGATAGCAATCATGGCTCTCTACAGCATCCTTTTTCATTAACATCTGCCAATTACCTTGACTTCTTTGAAGAGATAGTGATTTTTTATGAATTTAGTGTTGTCTTTCTCTTAACCTAGCGACCTCGCAAGGCTCGAGAGCCGTAGCTGGGCAAGGAAGAATAGTTTCATGACTTTCGCAAGGGGATTAGTACGAAAGTGAATGCGGCATATTTGATTTGTTTTTTGCCGATTTTATCTACTTCGCTCTTTCTCTCTTTCAAATGTCCTTTTTTTTTTTCAAACATTCCCTTTGCATTTTTTTTTCTGTCTTTCTTTCCTTTTTCTTTCATTTTAATTTTCTTTCTTTCTTTTTTTCTTTATTTGGCTTTATTTTTCATTTTGCTTTATTTTTTTTCATTTTCCCGCCATACATTTTTTTTTCTTTTGATTATTATTCTTGTCTCTATTTTTTTTCTTTTTTCTTCGTTTTGCTTTCCTTGATTTTCCTTTAGTTTTCTTTCCTTCTTTTTTCTTCTTTCACTTTTCTCTTCTTCATTTTTCTTTATTTCCATCATTTCCCTTTAGTTTCCCTTCCTATATTTTTTTCTTTTTCGATTTTTCTTTTCTCTATTTTCCTTCTTTCATTTTTCCAACCTTCCTTTTTCCTTATATTTTTCATTCTTCTTTTTTTCTCTCCCTTCATTTTCCCTACAAACATTTTTCTTCCTTCATTTTTTTTCATTTTTGTTTCTTTCATTTTTCTCCATTTTTCTTCCTTCATTTTACTTCCTTCATTTTTCTTCATTTTTCTTTCCTTCATTTTTCTTTTCTTTATTTTCTTCCTTCATTGTTCTTCATTGTTCTTCATTTTTCTTTCGTTTATTTTTCTTTCCTTCATTTTCTTCATTTTTCTTGCCTTTATTTTTCTTCCTTCATTTTTCTTTCCTTCATTTTCCTTTTCTTTATTTTCTTTCCTTCATTTTTCTTTCCTTCATTTTTCTTCATTCTTCTTCATTTTTCTTTCGTTTATTTTTTTTCTTTCATTTTTCTTTCGTTTATTTTTCTTTCCTTCATTTTCTTCATTTTTCTTGCTTTTATTTTTCTTCCTTCATTTCTCTTTCCTTCATTTTTCTTTTCTTTATTTTCTTCCTTCATTTTTCTTTCCTTCATTTTTCTTCATTTTTCTTTCTTTCATTTTTCTTCATTTTTCTTGCCTTTATTTTTCTTCCTTCATTTTTCTTCTTTATTTTATCTATCAATCTACCTCTTTACTCCAAATGTGAATTCTATTTTTCTCTCTTTTTTTCTCTCTCTTCTTTTTTCTCTATCTCTTTCTTTTTCTCTCTCTATCTCTTTTCTCTCTCTTCTTTTTCCATAGCCTATCTACCTCTCTCTTTCACTACATCCTCTCTCTCTCTCTCTCTCTCTCTCTCTCTCTCTCTCTCTCTCTCTCTCTCTCTCTCTCTCTCTCCTATAGCCCCGGTCTGATTTTCAGTCTTTCTTTTATCACTCTCTATCCCTTTCTCTATCTCTTTCTATCTCCCTTTCTCCTCTATACTTTCTCTCTCTATCACTCTATCTATCTATCTCGTTTAATCTTTCTTTCATCTATCTATCGATCTCTCTCTCCCTCTCTACCACAAATGTGAATTCGGATTTCGGTGCCACATCCTCCATTCTATGTTAAAAACACTTCTCAGATATTGAAAGTTCTATTTCTGTTTGATGCTCGCATCTTGGACTTATCCTCCCCCTGACAATCATACATTATGTCTTTTTTAAAAATTGGTGATTAGTCCTTTTTTCTCGCTTTCCTTTACTACCGTGTCTAAAAGGTCCTGTAGTTTTTTTTTCCATGTCTGCCATCAACACAGTGTCACCTGCGTATCACGGCCTGATAGTAAATCTTGGTAGTGTCGCCAGCTCTCGTCAGATATCCTTACTGTAGAGATTGAAGAGATCTGGAGAGAAGGTGCACCCTTGTCTTACGCCTTTTTCTATTCTTGTGTAGTACTTACACAATTCGTATTCTATCTACATGTAGGCGGTTTGCCCACGGTATCAATTCTGGATTGTTCTAACACCCTTTCCGAAAAGATCTAGTTTCCTGAGAAGCAACCAAAAGGAGAATACTGAATTGTTAGGTAATATCTATCTCTTATATGGCAGCGAATGCTGGAAAATCTCCTCACAGGTGAAGTACAGTTTGAAGCGACAAAGATGTGGTTCTACCAACAAATACTGAAGGGAACATCCAGTGGGGATAAACCTCTCATTAGTAATAGCTAAAGAGATAATCCTTGCTAACTGCTAACCGTTAACCCTCATTGGGGGTCATAGGAAAATGATTTCACTACGAAAACTCTTGACTTTTATTTCTCTCTCTCTCTCTCTCTCTCTCTCTCTCTCTCTCTCTCTCTCTCTCTCTCCCCTTGTTTTTCTGTCTATGTCTCTCACTCTGTCTTTCTGTCAGTCTGGATCTCTCTCTCTCTGTCTCTGTCTCTCACTCTTGGACACAATCTATCTCAGTCTGTTCATGTCTATCTATCTATCTATCTATCTATCTATCTATCTATCTCAGTTTGTTCATATCTATCTATCTATCTATCTATCTATCTATCTATCTATCTATCTCAGTCTGTTCACTATCTATCTATCTATCTATCTATCTATCTATCTATCTATCTATCTATCTATCTATCTATCTATCTCAGTCTGTTTCCTATCTATCTATCTATCTATCTATCTATCTATCTATCTATCTATCTATCTCAGTCTGTTCCCTATCTATCTATCTATCTATCTATCTATCTATCTATCTCAGTCTGTTCCCTATCTATCTATCTATCTATCTATCTATCTATCTATCTATCTATCTCAGTCTATTCATATCTATCTATCTATCTATCTATCTATCTATCTATCTATCTATCTCAGTCTGTTCCCTATCTATCTATCTATCTACATTCTGTTCCTGTCTATCTATCTACCTCTCAGTTTGTTTATATCTATCGATCTACTTTTCTACCCCAAATGTGATTTTTTTTTCTCTCTCTCTCTCTCCTTCTTCTCTCTTCCTTTCAATAGCCTTTCTCTCTCTTTCTCTCTCCCTCTTTCATTATATATTCTCTCTCTCTCTCCTCTAGCATCTGTTTTTCAGTCTTTCTTTTGTCACTCTTTATTGATGTTTCTTGATCTCTTTCTCTTCCCTACTCTCTCCCTCTCTCTCTCTATCTATCTATCTATCTATCTCTATTTCTTTCACGTATCTTTCGATCTACCTCTCTATCCCAAATGTGAATTGCATTTCTATCTTTTTTTTCTTCTCTCACTCTCTTGGCTCCCCCTCCCCCTCTTTATCTATCTATCTATCTGTCTATCTATCTATCTATCTATCTATCTATATATATATATATATATATATATATATATATATATATGTATGTATATGTATATATATATATATATATATATATATAGATATATGTATGTATATGTATATATATATATATATATATATATATCTATCACATTCTCTTTCTTTCTTTCTATCTATCTATCTATCTCTCTCTCTCTCTCTCTATATATATATATATATATATATATATATATATATTCAGATTCTGTTTCTTTCTTTCTTTCTATCGCATTCTCTTTCTATCTTTCTATCTATTTTTCACGCTCACTGTCCCATACATGAATTCTCTTTCCTCTCTTGTCTTGGGACAAGACATCAAAGCAAGGAAGCCATCTGGTTGAACGGACTTTTGTCTTATCGCTTTCTTCCCGTCTTTAGGAAATTCAAAGCGACTCCGCTCGTTGCCATGTCTCTCCGAGCTAACATAACGAAACACTATTCCCGCCCTCTTAGCCGATGTGTTCGTCCGGCCTTGAGGCACAAATCGGCCAGACTGACCGACAGATTATTCCCGTCTTTGATTAGCAACCTACAAATATGTCACTGTTAAACGTGTTTGTCAATGTCTTCTCGGCACAGCTCATTAATTTAACTCTTAATTGCCGATATCATAATAACAATGACGTTATTTTAATTGCGCTTCGTATGAGGCCATTAAATTAACGAGAAAAACAAACCTCGGCAAATGTAACATTGATTCGTTTCTATCTTTCGCCACTCTCTCTCTCTCTGTCTCTCTCTCTCTCTCTCTATATATATATATATATATATATATATATATATATTATTCGAAAATTATAACATAAATATCGTCAACTGGTTGACCCTGACGATCCGTATAGGTGAAGGTTCATATTTAGGTTTGCTCTGTATTGAGTTACTTTTGCTTTACTCATTTTGGAGGGGTTTTTTTTCTTTTGGACTCTTGAATTCTGGACAATTGTTTTCGCCTCGATTTCATGTTCTCAGTTCTTTCTTTTTTATCCCTTATTTTCCCTTGGGCATTGGTTTGTTCAGATACAAGCCAAAATACCTAAGGTTTTTCCAAACGAGTCTAACTATTTATATTATTATTATTATATAGTTGTTAACACTGGGTTGGGCGGGTGTAATTACACAGACTGAAAATCTGACTGCTGTGTTCGAATTCCAATTGGGTTCGTTACATTCGTAATATATATATATATATATATATATATATATATATATATATATATATATATATATATATATTATGAATATGCATAATTTATAGAAATATATATATATATATGTGTGTGTGTGTGTGTGTGTCTGGATTACAATTAATGAAATCCAGACAATTTACCTCATTCCTCATACATTTTCAACCGTCGTGTTCATCTGTACCGATTCCACCAGAACCACAATAGGTTCCTTACCCTTCTCTCTCTATATATATAACTCCCTCCTCTCCAATAGGCTAATTCTTACTCCCTCTCCTTTTATTCTTTCTTTTTCTTTTTTTTCTTCTGTCTTTTTTTTCCTTTCAGATTTCCTGTGAAGAAACGTAGGAATTCATTCATTTTACTAAATGTATTTGCGTTGATAAGTCCAAGGAAAAACTACTCTCCCATTGGTGAAATGATCATCTGTATGAGGTAAATTGTTTAAATCTCATTAATTGTAATTCATTTCTATGCTCTATAATAAGAATTATATTGAGCTCTCTTTTGTGCGTCAGTTTTAATATTTTATATCGATAGGATCTACTTGGATTGCTTACCCACGTTATATATATATATATATATATATATATATATATATATATACTCGACTCTCCCGTCGAATTCGACGTATGAGGGTCAAGCAGATCAGTTCCCAGGAAACCGACTGCCCGACTCCAGCACATGAGATTCGATTATAGTGATGAAGGTTTTGTGCAGAACCAACCACACATTTTGAAGGGCCGAATCCAGAGACCTGGTGCACTACGTGCCACAGAGTCCCCAAACGACCCTCCCCAGGTTTTGAATTCAGAGTTGTCCTTCTCCTGGACTAGTTGCCATCCAAGTTGCTATAGAACACAGTCTATTTACCCATAGCTGGAGGGAGAAGATGAGAATTCACACCTTTCCCAAGGGTATTAGATTAATGGATTCGACTGGAATTCAAACTCGGCTCTTCGATTCTTCAATCCAAGTCTCTATCCATTGCTCCACCGTTCCGTATATATAATCCCCCTAGATAGATAGATAGATAGATAGATAGATAGATAGAGTTTAGGATAAAATGCATCGGCCCCTTCCCTGTGAAAACTGAAATATTTAAAAGATTTCCAAAATGCTTTTAAAAGGACAAGGTAACTTTAACAAGGGCAAACATCCTCGTCTCTCTTAGAATAAAATAAATTTATTTTTGATTGCCCATAAAAACAGGATTTTCGCAAACAACCCAAAACCTACCTGAGTCAATATCTTTAGTCCCCGTTCCTTACGATCTCTCCTTTTTATTGAGATATATCACTAACTGTTGTTGTGCACTGGTGTGCAATAACCTTTTATTACACTAAGGTTATGAACCGAATTCACCACCTCAGGTTTATCTTTCAATATTTACACAATATGAAAATGTAAGTAAAGGTTTGTAACAGACGTGAACATTCTCATCAGCACAAGTAACTGGATTTCAGCTTTTGGGCATGCGTGTTGTGGATCTGAAAGGCTATTTTTCACTTCGGGTCGACATCACGAGAGGACGCAACGTGCAATAGACGCAACACAATGTAGGCAGTACACCTCACGCGCTCGCTGATTCACCAGCAGAGTGAGTTCAAATTTCCCTTCATTAGTTACAAAGACTCTTAATAACAATTCTTGAAATATTCTCCACGTCTCCGATAGAATAATCATTTCCATCTTGTTTTGTCTCACTCTTTTGTCTGGTCTATTTTTATCAACACTTGGCTTATGTCCAGCACACGACCCCTAACCTAGTAACGACAGTTTGATGACCACGAGGTCAGTTGCGAGTTTCTTTACGTCGTGTTAACGTTGCAGGTTTGAGCTGTCATACGTGAAGGCAGCATGTCAAAACAAAAGAAATTAGTTTA